AAGAATCGTAAAAGCTAACATCTATATTAAATCTATTTTCAAGTGAAATTAGAAGAAGGAAGTTTTTGTCGACTTTCTCGAGACCGATACATTTGACTTGATGCGTGTCTAAAATCACCGATCCGACAATGAAGATGTAACGGCTATAAATCCGTGGCTTTCTAATGTTTGCCCACACGAATTCGCTTACTTCGGTAAAAATTACGGTAAAAATGTGCGAGATAGCGGGAAGGGAAGCTGCCTAGTCGGAAGCAAGACGCGTCAAATGTTACCGGCAATTACCGGTGGGCAATGAACCGATTATTAAAACAGTACGTTGGCAGTGATTTGATCGACGCGAAGAGGAGGATATCCTCCTGTAATCGCACGCAAATGCGAAGAGTTCATTACCATAATTACCCGGCACTTCGTTAAAGACTAAAGAGCTCCGCTCGCAAGATCGAAACGTACTGTTATCCTAGTTCGTTTGCACTCTGTTAAGTAAAAATCCGTTTGACGCGCCGTATGAACATTTTTCCTTTTTCGCTTTTCGGCCTTCACCCGGTTGAGCGGAAAGCGTGTCGTTGGCGCGTATCGCAACGGGATGCACGTCACAGGGAAAGGATTCGCGTGGGACGGACATTTTTTCCGGGGTGCTGCCCATCGCTGATCAGCGACATCGTGCTGTCGGGGCTGTCTGTCATTTCCTTTCTGTCATGATACATTTTCATACCTTCGTAAAGACCTGAGATGCCACCCAGGCTCACGCAATATTCTGCTCGAGAAGCCAATAGGAATGCGACAGACTGTAAAATCACAGTTGCGTTTTATCCCGTCAGTTTTGATGAGGACGAGATGAGAAATATATTTGTCGCGAGTCAAAAAAGTCTACCAAGAGGAATTTCAAAAAAAATCGACCAAACTGGCAAAATTGGTGTTTATTTTGGTCACGACGTTTCGACCCCATTTATCAGAACCCGATAAAGTGACTAAAATAAACACCGATTTTGCCAGTTTGGTCGATTTTTTAACAAATTTTCCTTGGTTGATTATCACTGGCGGCAAGAAGCTACTCAAATCGTTCAAAAAAGCCTAGATTAAAACAAAAAGCATTCTGTCTTCGAGAAGAATTTATAGCTGGAGATTGGTAAAGTGATCGTGAGAAGTTGATCGATCTTAGACGATGAGGACGGCGCACCGCGAGAGATCTCGCGGCGCGAATTTCTCCTCTTGACCGGCACGGAAATTAGAATACGCGTGTGGCCATCATTTAAATCGTGTAAATTATCTAAACCACTTTCTCGCGTGGCCAGACGACACGGGATTCGTCACTTTTATCGCTCCGCGGAGACCAGACCTCCCCCCGTCTTACGCGATCGTTCGCTCTTCTTTTGCTTCCTTCTTTCATCACGCGACCCAATTACGCCACAGGCCAAGCACATCGCATGCGAATTTGCATAACAACGTCGGTGCGACGTACAAGTGTGTTTCCGCAACGCTAAGACGCTCAGTAGAGCAAGAACTAATCTCTTGGTCACTCATCCATCTCTTTCATTTGCTTCGTATCTTTCGAGACAAATGTATCTCGGTGTAACGAACTTTATTAACTTGCGGCAAATTATATTATAAATAACATCTTCAATTGCAATGATAACGTTAATTAATTCATGACAATTGATCAAACACCGATGCTAAATAGCTAAATAAAAATTTGTACACTGATAAAAAAATATCTTAATCCAAAAAGACATTACTTTACTCAAGAAAATTATTCATTAGGTGGCTCCTAATAGCTTATTAACTTCAATTTATAAAATAATAAATAAATTGAAACATGCATTGCTTTAATTTAAGTACTTATTAAATATCAAAGAATAGATCATTTTAAATTTAAAAAAATTTTACTTTAATTCTATAAAATATTTACTAAGATATAAGTTTCACAGCGAAGAAAGTTGAATTTCTTATTTGACAAAAACAATGATTGCATTTAATAAATAATATTCTGTATCTCGTGAAATCTTTATTTGAATGTAGAAAATGTCATGATTTAAATTAATTTACTTAATATAATACGTAGGTTTACTTAAAATTTGATGTCTTTATTTAGATAGAATAAATATTTATTTCAGCAAAAAAAGTAATTTTACGTAAATCTATATATTTACTTAGTTAAAAAAATTTTTTGTCAGAGTGTAATAAACAATGCTATATCCAAGCGATGCTGCCTCTACATTTTTCGACTGACCGATAAAATCAGTTTGATTTGCTTCGCAGGAAAAGATATTCCAAAATATATTCTAGAAAAGAGCTGCCTTCTGCATTTCGTCGAGTTTAATCGGACACTCGAGTGTGGAATCTCGCGCTGTATCGACACGCGATTTCACCTCGATGAAACGAGAGCGACTGGGAAGCGGCGCGCAATTTCCACGCGTATATGGAATTACGCGGAAAGGGAGTTACGAGCCCGGTAGCTTACGGTACAGCCTAATCAGCGTGTCAGCGGGTTACCGGTCTAACAAAACGTAAAATAATCCGGTTTCTCGACTGGCGACGTGCTAAATGAAACTGGCGGGGCCTGGGATTTTGCAGAAACTTGCGGCGAACCGTGTTTCGGGCCATATGTAGACTCAATTTTCTTTTCCTCCTTCGATGGAGAGATAAGACGTCGACATCCGTCAGACGTGAAAGCGACAGACGTCCGTCACCGCTTTATGTAAATCGACTTATTTTTTTAACCGCGTTGAAACAGATTTAGCCGCCGAACATATATTTTACCGATATTCTATCGCGATTGAGCTGACTCACCGATTAATTACGCTTTCCTTTCACAACCTCTCTTTCTCTCTCTTGTTTAATTAATTTGTTTATATTATGTGAGGTAACATCAGTTTCTTCATAAGCTTTCTAATACGAGATTTAATTGTTTCCATGAATGAAGCATAGACGAGATAGGCGATATTTTATATTTTTTCACATCCCGAGTCGAAATTTTGGTACTACTTTGACACTTTTAAGGATAATTTACACCTGCTTAGCTGATCTATACATCTACATGGATCAGCAATAACCTACTTTGATGACATTAGATTTTTTTACTCCTCCCTTGAATCTTTAATTCTACAAATTTACTTTAACCCCTACTTAAAAAGACCTACTTTAATCGAAAAATGGCAAAAGTAGAAATTTCTATCAGTTTTAAAGTAAGAGTCAATTTTGTACTTGCAGTTCGACTTCTTTTATTGTCTTAGATCCTATTCCCAAACTTTGTTATCTATTCGCACTCGTTCATTAAAGAAAACGAAGAGAACTCCCTCCCCCGAGACCTTCGCAAAAATTATACAGAAGCGTTAATCGCAACCTGCGTGCTTCCACTTTCCTCCGTCGTATTACGAACCGCTTACATACGCAAGGTTACATATCTAAATAATCGCATCCTCTTGCAACAATAGTAGCATTCTCGCAACGTTCGCCGAATCATCGGCGTCTCTCTCCTCCTCCTCCCATAAAGCGAACTTTTCCGGTGAACGAGGTCAAGCACAGATTTTTGCGCAACTGCGGGTAATCGCTATTAAGCAACGGGGATTATCGCAAGTCCGCGGGAATAACGTTTGATAAATGCAATCGATTGCGGTACAATCGAGAAAACGAGTTAGAGAGATAGAGCGAACGGGAGAGAAGGGAAAGAGAAGAGAGAGAGAGAGAGAGAGAGAGAGAGAGAGAGAGAGAGAGAGAGGAAGTTCAGGCGCTTTCATTGCTCAATAAGGAAGAGGCGATCGCTTCCGTGACAGGTTCCACGGTTGGGATCAGGACCATTTCGATCTAATGGGCTTGCGGATAAACGCCGATCACCGGCGAATTTCTAATCGTACTCCATTTGTCCCGGCTTGCAGCAGGAGACCGGCAAGCCTCCTCCTCCTAATGTCACCCCGAAGATGGCCAGGGATCGTGCCGGGTCGGACTACTCAGGCCACATGAGCGACACCACCACGTGCAGCTGCGTCGCGAGCTCCATCGACAAGGTAAGGGCGCGCTTAGTGCACCCAAATGTTTGCACCGCAGTTGGCGATTTAACGTTACGTCGAGGAGACATTTATACAAGGTAACTGGACCTTCGAACAACTTTTCGAAAAAAGCGAAACGATCTTTACTTTTTCTTTCTTCAAAATACTACACTGTTAGAAAAGTATGCGGTATTTGAAACTGTAATTGCATAGTAAAATAATTATAGTCAGGAATGTAATTTTTATAGTAATTATTACTGTAATATTAGTAATAGCAACCATATAGACACAGTGATGCCAACTATTTAAAAAATTTACTATAAAATATAAGCTTTCAACTATTATTCTGCTAAAATATCCAGGTAATGAATAGTAAATTAGTTAATCATTTTTATATAGTAAATACAATCGGAATAATAGTAAATTTAACTACATTTCTATCATCCACCTTACTAATCACATGGTAAACAAAAGTGAAGTTCGGAACGTCCTCACTAGAGGGACGCGCGGTATAAGACTTTCTCGTAAGAGACGAAAACCCCATAGAGTGTTATAAATACGGATAAGTTTATACATTCGTATTATAGGGCGGGATTTGCTTTGGGTTCGTAAAAATAAGTTCTGAGAGATTTTCCGTTTCGACTATTTCGCTTATTCTTGAGAACATTGTTTATACAATGTACATACATGAATACTCGATATCGTAACATCAAGAAAATCTTAATTGGCAAGAAGCACTCGTTGCTAACTCTCTAAATGAAAACAGTGAATATTTACTGAATCACAGTTATAAGTGTAGCACTGAATTATTCAGTGATAATCCACTGATTGACTTTTAGAGAGAAAGTTTGAAAAAGACGTGGATGCAGTTCTCCTTTTTTTCTCTCTCTCTCTCCTCGCGCATTTTTAAATGTCGAACGTACGTCACTAAACACGTTGCAGTGCTCGTTACGCGGCTGCGGCATGTTCCAAGAGCCGTTCTTTTTGCATCCGCCGGGCTCTCGGCCGCGGGACGGTATCTACATAAATCCCATGAGCGCGTACATCGGCGACCCGCCCAGACCCAAGGACACGGCCGAGTCCTTCTACCTGCACAGCCCGCACGATCTCGTCTACACCAGGATCACGCGGCTGTTCGGCGATGCCGAGAAGCCGCGGAACGGCGTCGCGGCGGAGCAGCGCCATATGCCGGAGAGGAAAGACGAGACTCTGACTGGTAAGTAGCACGTCCCAGATACTTGATCGTTAACATTATAACGTGCGCTACACACGGTGTCCAGAAAATATTTCGTCGCCGATCGTCGAAAGTGAAGAGGTTTCAAGCGATCCCGAGTCGACATTTTGGTACTATTTTGACACTTTCAAGGACAATTTACATCTACTTAGCTGACCTGTACACCTACATAGACCAGCAATAACCTAGTTTGATGACATTATAGTTTTTACTCCTCCCTTGAAGCTTTAATTCTACAAATTTACTTTATCTCCTACTTAAAAGGATCTACTTTAATACTAAATTGGCAAAAGTCGAAATTTCCGTCACTATCAGTTTTAAAGTAAAAGTAAATTTTGTACTTGCAGTTCGACCTCTTTTACTGTCTTAGGTCCTACTATATAATATTAATTAAAGGTTCAACGTAGGGCCAAAATTTCGACTCGGGATTACTCGAATTTACGACAAGTCTCATCGAAATTACAATACTAATTCGTGGGTGAAACAAATGGCGATCGTTCTTAAAAAGAGCTTAAGGTAGTTATTTCGCAAAAGCATTTATGTGAGAATTGTTTCAAATCTTTACAGTTTATTCTTTACATTAATAAGTGCAAAATAAGACTGATTAAATTAAAATTGACCGTCTCAAAGTTCTGAAAAAAATGCTATGTTCCACGACATTGCGTTTGCAAACGCAAATAATGGCACATCTTATTATTTTTGAGCCTAACAGTGAGCAAGATTCGTATGAGAAAGAAATATATTATAAAGTAAAGTACAACGAATAACTGGGGAAAAAAGTCAAAATTATTGACCGTTCCATTTCAACAATATATACAGTTAAAGCTGAAAAATGGGAAGAATTGTGTAGCAGACATGAGTGTAGTGTAAGAGATGTGACAAAAGCACCTCAAACTATAATCTTTCGAATCTATTTTATAATAAGTGTATTCTTTAGAACAATATTGCATCAAGATACATCATTGTAATAATTGAGCGCTGGTTCCTGTTTCTGGAAGAAACTTTTAAGCATTACTGTCGCAAAACAACTACCTTAACTCAAAACTTGGCTATTTAAAGTAGACGTTAAATACAAGAGTGGAAGGAAGTCGGAAAAACACCGGACAACTCGAATTTAAGAATAGATCGATTTTATTCGATCGAATTATTCGCGACTGAGGTAAATCAAAGCGATAACTCCGGAACACCCTGTCTACTCCGCCGGGTCTCGATTCCACTGTGGCTCCAGGGCGACCTCGATTCGCATCCGACGTTCGGTATCATCTTTCCGTCTCTCTTTCGCTCCTCTTAACAATATTTCTTAAGCCTCAAAGATCGAGCAAATAGAACTATTTGTCTTCATTGCTCTTGCTTCATATATTGATTCCCATCGAATCTCTAAGGAGGTTGGTGACTTGTGACAAAACAGTAAGACTCGCATGCAACTTTTGCAAAATGTTATTGGCAGAACAATGCATCGGTTGTTTGAGTTTCAAGTGATTCGATCACTTAGTTCTCCCAGGAATTTAATTTAAATAAATACAGTACAAAATATAAACGGAAACATATAATTTTTCCTAAATGAGCGAGTCATAAATATCTCACATATATAATTCAAAATTAAATATTATATAAAGAAATCCAATCTTTGTAATTAAAAAAAAGTTTCATTACCTTGTGGTTGTGTCGTGCGTAAGTCGACGTCTTGTCGGACAAGAGCCGAGAGAATTTTAATCGTAATTGTCCTTCTCATTCCCGTTTTACTTTGCAAGCGTAAGTTTGATCGTTAGTTTCACGAACGACACCTGACTAGTGCACGGTAGAATACTGTAAGATTGATCTCGAGGAAAGAGAGAGAGATACTTGGGTAATTGTCAGAGGAGAGGAAAAAGCCACACACGTCGCGAACAACACGCGCGCTCCGCGAAACCGGGTTAAAGACTCGCGCGCGATTTACCGCGGATACCGTTAAGCCGTTGCTGTGCGGTCGCTCTTAATAAGAGCAATAAAAACTACGATCGACGGATCGAGCGAGTTGCAGCGCGGGACGCGTAAAAGTCGCCGGTACAGCGCGAGAGTCCAGTGGGAATTTTGTAAAATTTTTTGTATCATAAGAATGTAAATTTTATAGAAAATCGTTATAGAGATCGCAGATTTTAAGGCGATCGGCAACTCTAGCGAATCGCAAGTTTGAGCGAATTTTAGCCGAGGTAATTTGTGGAAAACTTCTCGTGCACGATGTTTTCTCGTGGAAGGCAGTTTTCTCGTGTGCGATGCGTAATATTCCGAGCGGGGCTTTGGCTTTCAGTGAAAGTGGATGTGCACATCAACAACGGTGGATTCGTCGGCCGACCGCATACCGGCAACGGACATGCGGCGCGCTCCGAGATCGCGAGGGAGTCATCGGATCATGCTTACGAGCAGATCTGCGTGAGACAGGAGGAAACGAGCAGCGTGAGCTCGTCATCGCGTAAAAAGCCGGCGGACAATACCTCCGACAGCAGGTAACACGATTTAAGCAGACCCATCGCCCGGGCGAGTAAACCCTCTGATCTAATCTCCTAAAATCAAAAGAATTCATCTAAACTTGACACCGGAGAGAATTGATGCATTTAATTCTCTCTATTATAAAAAAAGAAACAATTTTCTCTGGTTCTTAAAAAGGAAACATCGTTGCGACTGTTTGCTTTCAACTGAATCAATCGTTTTAAAGACAATATGCGTTGCAACATGTAGAATATAAAAATAATATAACGGAGAGTCGTAATACGAAAGGAACTTGAGAAACAATACAGATTGTGTACGCGGAGAGAATTTTCTCTTAAAATTTATCCTGTAATCGTGGGACAGCGCGGCATTTTGAAGAATTTTGAGTTTAAAAAAATTTTACCATACATTTTGCTGGTATGGTAAAATTTCAGAAAACTCATATAAAATTGTTCAAAATGCCGTATTGTCCCACGATTTTCAGGGTAAATTAGAAAATTCTCTCCGTGCAGTGTTTGCTATTAGACATTTTGTCCTGTAAAAGATATTATATATAAAGATGTACCTGGCGAAACGAATGTATTCCGTTAACGAGTAATGAAGTCGTTCTCGCGATACCACGAATCACACGTCAAGCTCGTAAAAAGTGATTTTTGATGAGCGCAGCACAACAAAATATCAGACACTATGAAAGCGGCCACGAAGGTGAGCAATCAACAAGTGGTACGGCGTAACTCAGTTACGATCGAAATTGTCATTACAATCGCCAAGAGATGGCTCGTTCGTGGACGCGTTCGGAGAATAGCATCGTATCGCTATTTTTCTCGCCTGTTATTTATCTCGCAGATAAGCGCGTCAGGTACTTAATCGCGGGTAGATTAAACTTAATTCCCGACGATTCCGCGATTCGTGGATCCGCGTATAGACCGTCTCTCTGACGTTTCAGTCGTTCTCGAAAAACCGACAGGCGATACAGCCGATCCAGCAGCGCCAGCGAGTCGTCGAACATGAGCAGCGAGGTCCACGGTCTCTCCTCGACGACGTCCACTCCGTCCTTATCGCGGCACAGCAGCAGCGAGCGGATCAGCAAGCCGGGAAGCAGAGCAAACGCGGAAGCACCGCACGGTACGTCGAAAACTGCCGGAAATAACTGCGGAGCTGCGTACAGAAACATCACCCGAGTGTCCCTGTGTATCATTTTATCCTTGTTGCTCGCCGTATGTTAAATAAACAAGGATAAAATCAGGGTTGGGAAGTAACTCGTTGCTTGTAACGAAGTTACAGTCACTTCTTTTTTTTGGTAACCCTAAATTAACTTCGTTACTTTCTCTCCATCTGTAACTGTAACTCAACTCGGTTACGTTTTTCCGATAACTAGTAACTAATTTAATAGTTGCATTAAGAGTTACTTTATGTATTTTTTACACCTCCACAGATTGTATTAGGCCCTGCATTTGCGCATAAACGCCTTTATCGGCGCTTTACAATTCAAACGCAGATTTGATATTTTTATTTTCATTGCAAGAAAGTGACTGCAAAGTAACGATTCGCTATTTTTGGAGTAACTGTAACTGTAACGCGTTACTTTTCAGAATTGGTAACTTGTAACCGTAACTAGTTACATTTTAGCCAAAAAAACACTGTAACTGTAACTAGATTCTTTTATAAAGTAGCTTTCCCAACTCTGGATAAAATGATACGCTGGGGCATTCGGGTGATGTTTCTGAACGCAGCCCAGGGTGACCACAGTGTCCGCTCACAAAGAATCGTACGCACGATATATCGCGCACGCACAAATTGTAACTTTGGCTTTGAATAAACAGCGAAATATCTTTCGCTCTTTTATGTGCGATCTATTGGATAATCGGTATGAAATAAGTCATCGTGTAAGAAGAAAAGAAATCGTTTCGACAAGAGAGGAAGAGTGAAAATCGGAATACGTTATTCATAAAGACAATTACAGCGGTAGAAAACAAAGAACGATTTTCTGCCTGGTGTGCGTTCGTTTGCGTTTATTACCACTACGTTCCCTGATTGCGATTGTGTGTCCGGTGAGAATGAAAACTATCTGTCTTTATGCGTCATCAAGTTACGATACAAATCGGCGCTGACAATTTTTCGCGACGGGTGACAAGGGCATTGTGGCTATCCCGCGAAGAATAAATGCGATGGCGAGAACAGCCCGCGATTGACCGGTATGCGATTCTGTTTCGGTTCGCAGAGAGGAAGGAGTCGTCCGGCGCGCAGGTGGAAAGTGAAAAGGAGATCCGTACAAATGGCAACGGCGGACCTAGGTAAGTAGGCCGAATCGATACCGGATCGAGACATGAGCTAAAGCCGCGTGAATAAAAGAAGGAAGAAAGCTCGATCGAAAGTCGATCGAACGGCGGAGCCGCTCGCTGCTCCGCGATTCGATTCGCTTCTTTCCTTTTCGCCATTGACTTTGTCCGTTTTCCTTTGAAATATCGCGCGAACGAGACGTGTTGCAAAGGCAATGTTCTCGCTGGCCATTGATTTATCAGCGAAACGAACAATCAACGGCGATCCGAATCGTACGGGCTATTGAATCGATTAGTGTTAACTCTAGACGCATTAAACTTAAATAAGGACACTCTAAATTCTCGAAGGAAGGGATCGCTTTCGAAACAAGATGTCTATCTGCGCCTCCGCCAACTTTAACACCCGTAACTGTTCAACTTTCCACATACACAGTAAAAAATGAAATGTTAATGTTAACATTTTTTACATGTCCCAAAAAGTCCACTCTAAAATTTATATTGAAATAATATTCATCGCGCGTGTGACTTTTTGACAAATTATCAATATTAATTAATTAATTTATTAATAACGTCAGTGATTTTTATTGATCGTGTCTGGCAATTAAAATTCTTATTGCGACAAAACATTACCCCATTCGGACCTGGGACCTCCCTCAATCCGTGACGGGCGTCTTAGCCAGCTCGACTGGCCCCAAAATAATGACACATCTGTTTTATGTTAATTTCACATTGAAATAACAATCAAATCTTGGTAACACAAGAAAATTTTAACATTTAAACACATAATTTTTTACTGTGTATTCTCGCTCGTCTATTATCATTGTTTGCAATTAGGTGCACGTGTCTACAATGGTTCTCCACGATTGTTACTTTCACTCGTCATAAAATTGACAAACGTTACCTAATCCCTTAATAATTTAACAGGCGGGATTTGTATTACTATTATTTATTTTTTAACGCTACGATTCAAACGCTGCAATCGACTACAATAGGATTACTTTCACTTATCTTTAAACGGGATGATAAAACGTACGTTCTTCAATTTTCTGTAATTATTCTTGCCGGAAAGATTATTGTCCTCAACTGACACACCAGTGAAAACATTCGTCCGATGAAATATAATTTATCACATTTGCACTCAAGTCGAATTCTTAATCAATGCCGTCGATCAATCAAGATTATTTAACAATAACATTTTTGCGGTATCACTTTCACGTATATCGCATCGAAAACAAGATTTTTGATCTCTAGTCCATTGAAACCACCGCCGCCGCCACCGCCGCCGCCGCCGGACGACGACGTGGTGGTCGTCCTGGTGAACGCGAAGCCGAGTGCAGACCAGGGCGCCGACAAGAAAGATGCGCGCGGAAACAGCCAGGACGGAAGGGCCGAGTCCTCTGGTGAGAAATTACGCTTCACGCCCATTTCCTCTTCGACGTCCTTTCGTTCCCTCGCGCGATTGCCTCGAGCGTGAAAGTTGCAGCTCGACTTTGGTGCACGCACGTTCACCTGACATTTCCCGCGCGCGTTCGTCGCGGAAAAACGCGTTCAATCCGAATCGGGCGTTTCACCTTGTTCGCCATTTCAGCCTCGAAGGGATCCCGGATCGAAGAAAAATCCGCTGCTTCCCACGTGTTGTGCAAAACGCAGTCATTGAAATTATTCTGCCTCTTTTACGTCGCCTCACGTCGAGAGGACGTCCTCTTGATACACTAATGGCCGTGATCTCAACATTATTCACAACAATCGCGAAAAGAGATCGCGTCGCGCGTGAACGACTTTATGGCCGGTCGGTGCTTTACGACTACCGGTCAACGCGAAGACCGTTGTGCTCTTTCAATTACTTCCTCGACAAATTTTACTTAACGAGTCGATCTGTCCTAACGGTGCCCAGTTACGGAATGTCTCGCCAGATTTCCCGAGTCGAAATTTTGGCTCTATGTCGAACCTTTAATTCTATTACATAGTAGGACCCTAAGACAGTAAAAGAGGTTGAACTGCAACTACAAAACTTTCTGCTACTTTAAAACTGATAGTGTCGGAAATTTCTACTTTTGCCAATTTAGCATTAAAGTAGGTTTTAAGTTGGAGCCAAAGCAAATTTTTAGAATTAAAGAGTCAAGGGAAGTATAAAAAAATATTATGTCATCAAAGTAGGCTATTGCTGGTCTATGTAGGCGTGTAGGTCAGCTAAGTAGGTGTAAATTATGATTAAAAGTGTCAAAATAGTACCAAAATTTCGACCCGGGTTGTCCCGACGTTTCATGCTTCCGTAATTTAATTGCCCCCGCGGTAATTGGCTCATTTCTACCGGAAAGATCGGCTCTGGACTCGTCGAGGCCACCAGCGGGCCGCCGGAGCAATATATCGGAAATGCGATAACTCCGTTATGTACAATTCCCTGTTATACCTTTATCGCCGCGGTAATTGCCTCGGCCGTGTTACGCTCGTGCGAATTACGCTTACATTTTCGGGGCGCGTGCCTCCCGACTCTTCGATACGGCATGAAGGCAATTAGCTGAATCGACCACGGCGATCAGCAATTACAGTTAAAATCGGGCAAAATGAATTCGCAGATGTTAATCAGCGCCGCGAGTTTAATTAGGCCGGCTCGGCTCGCGATCGGACGAGGGCGCGGGAAAGGGGCGGGGGAGGGAGGGAGGGGCCCCCCCGTCGCGATCTCGATTTGGGCTGCGCGCGTATACCACGGCCTTTAATTAAACTGTTAGCGGATCATGCTCAGCGGAGGTGGCCTCACTTACTAGACCATGGCGCTCACCGGGCATATAATATACTTACCTAGATTTCACTTGCCCCTCGGTAACGACCGTCATCCAGTGCTGGAGGATATAACGAGCAGCCCTCTCCTCTCTGCTTGCCTCTTTTACGTTACTCCACCCTTCTCTATCTCCCCGTCTATCCCCGTCTCTCTCTTTCTCTAACGCTGCTGGGTCGGTCTCGGAACAGCGACCAACAAGTCCGACGCATCATCCTCCGGCGAGCATCCGCAACAGCCGGAAGTGCCGGCTACCGCCAGTGCGCCGGCGGACGCGGACGAAATTAAAGCGAGCCAGGCGTCCCACCTGGTGAACAGGCACATGGTGCTGCCGTTTATACCGCCCAAGTTCGCCAACGCGGACTCCAACACCCTGCTCAAGCCGTCGGAGTACCTCAAGAGTATCTGCAAGGTGTCGTCTAAGAACAGCCTGTCGAAGGCGAGGTCAGTGATCCTTCCTATTACATACAACGGTGCCCACTTCTAACTGTTTCGTAATCCTCCGCGTGCGATTGTCTCAGTTGATCCTGACAAGTGGCGAACGTTCTTTCCGTTGCTCGTTTCCATCGAGTCAATTCCAAATTGAATACTCAAGACGCACGGTGCACACAGAGGATACCTGGAGAACCAGCGAATAACGAGAGATAAGGATTACTTTGTGTGCCGGTCGTCTACTTAGATCATCGCCTAGAAAGTGATGATTTTAAATCTACTCGAAGTGTCTCGCTTATAGTGTTTGTACGATTACTTAAACTGTACGCGCGCATCATTCTATGCAGCGTGTTACGTGCAATTTAAATGACGAAAAGTAGTTCGGCGAACATCTAACACTCTCGTGGACGCCGTGATTTGTCGTTAACGTCTGCGATTTATCGATTCAATCCTCGCGCACGTGAATTAATATCGACAATCATTTTGTAATGATCGCTCAAATTCGCTTCACGACTGATAACACGTGTGTCGCCGGTTGAAGACTTTCAGCCATGCAAAGAAATGTAAACTCATGTGCGTATTTGACTTTCTGATTGTATGCGCAGAAATGTAAGAAATCAATTTAACACGATTGACACGTTTTCCACACGACAAGGAAATACTTGCTACTCTAGGTGAGAAAACACTTCTCTGCGAAACAATTAAGATACAACATATGAAGCATAAAACATTTCCCAGTACACTTATGAAAATACGCGTACGAACAAAACGGGCGCAATGATTTTCTGATAGGTAAAACGAATTATATGCAAACAAACGAATTCATCTTCGTGCAGCGCCATTATCAAATTTTCTGCTCGCGTGACAATGCAAAAATCGCGCTCGCAGGTCAGTGGACAACTTGGACATCCAGAGCCGGAATACGGAGCAGGGCGAAGAAGAGGAGGCGGATGAAGAGGAGGAGGGGGCGCGAAGGAGCAGCGAGGAGACCAAGGGGTCTCCCACGGGCCCTCCGCCGCCGCCCCTGTCACCCTTGCAGCAGCGAGCGCGGGGGGGAAGTCAGGCCCCGGGTGCCGCCGGCGCCGGCAATGAAACCGAGAGCTCCAAGAGCTCCCCGCAACAGCCCTTAGCCACGATCAGCATCCAGGACCTCACGAGTATCCAGCTGCGACGGACCAGCACGAAGATGAACGCCACCAAGACATTCTCCGCTCCGCCTCCTCGCAGCGTGTCCATGACTAACGGTAAGTCCGCGACACACATGCACGTATAATTTAACGCGTTTGCGCGAACTCGAGCGTAAGGATCCAGAGTTGGAGCCACCTATCCGAGGAGTCCAGGCTGCAACTACGTTGCATAAGTCTACAATAGCTGATCGCGGTCAAGTATGAGTAGAATACGCGACTGTCAATTTCTTAAGGCTTAGGGCTTAAATCAGCTATTGTAGACTGGGATTTATGCAACGTAGTCACAGCCTAGACACCTCGGACAGGAGGCTTGAACTCTGCGACCTTACGCTCGAATTCGCGCAAAAGCGCTAAATTGTCAAAACGGTCAAATACGAGTAGAATACACGACTGCGATTAGTCAATTTCTTAAGACTTAGGGTTTTAATCTCTATTGTAGATGGGCACTTAGCGATTGTATATTGTTTATTCCGAGGCCATTTCACAGTGTTTCTCGCGTGTGCTGAAATTTATACAATCACCGCGAATAGAGTTTAAAAATAGAATCGCGGACAAATTCAAACAGGACTGTATCGATCTCGACAGTCTCGGAGCCGTTCTTCGTGCAAAAGACGGACCTAATCGCCGAGTTGAAGCGCACAAAGGATATACCTGGCATCAAGAAGCTGAAGGTGGAGAGGGCGCAGGTCGAGAAGACTCAAGAGCAGAACCTCATGTCGGAAATCAGCAAAGCGTTTAGCGTTACGAATTTCGTTGATCAGGTAAGAGCGCGCTTTATTTGCCATCTTTCTTGAGAAATTAATACGTACACTTGTATACAAAAAATTGCAAAACTATTTAATCCCTTTAACATGCCATTAAAATTTTTCCTCCTCTTGTATGCAGTTGAGCTGTGAAGGTATGAATCTTTTTTCCGCAGATCCCCGAAAAGGACAGCTCGGGAAACGTGATACCGATCTGGAAGCGACAGATGCTGGCCCGAAAAGCCGCCGAACGGGCGAAGAAGGAGCTCGAGGAACAAATAGCTCGAGAAAACGAGGAGAGGCGGCAGAAGGCGATTCCGCCATGGAAGCGGCAGCTTCTCGCTAAGAAGGACAACGATGAAAAGAGGTACGGAGATTAATGGATCTGTATCGATCAATCAGAAGTGCAATTGAATACTTCTCGGTGATTGGAGAAAGCCCGAGTTAATTAAGACGAGTTTTGCAACGAGCGGGGAATTGCTCCTCACGCAAAATCGTACTATCGCCGTGACTCCTTTCAAAAGAGATTCATCTCGCGCTATTACGAGATTTATTATACTACTATTATAGATTTATTACACTGCAAGATTTAAACTCCGTTTTCAGCGCGGCCGAGAGTGGGAGAGAGGCAAAGTACTACGATCGTTGCGAGTATTACAATTACTTTCGTCACAACTGGTCTCGAGTTCCTTCGTTTTGCGTCGTATGCAAAATCGCGCGATATAAATAATAGTATGCATAATATATACGCGCGTCGAAGGATTCGCTTATCGAATCCGGCGACTGACACTCTTATCGTTTCTAAATACGGAATAAATTGTTATGCGGAACGTCTCGAATTTCCGCAAGTTTTCAAATAGAACAGAGAAAACCCGAGTCGAAATTGTGTTACTATTTTGACACTTTTAAGGATAATTTCCTTAATAAATTTCCTTAAATAAAAAAAGGAAAAGATAAGGAAAAACACCTACTTAGCTGATCTATACGTCTACATGGATCAGCAATAACCTACTTTGATGGCATTATATATTTTTTACTCCTCCCTTGAATCTTTAATTCTAAAAATTTACTTTAGCTCCTACTTAAAAGGACCTACTTTGATGCTAAATTGGCGAAAGTAGAAATTTCCAACACTATCAGTTTTAAAGTAGCAGTAAATTTTGTAATTGCAGTTCGACCTCATTTACTGCCTTAGGTCCTACTATACTGGGTGTCCTGAAATTCGCGAATCAAAATACCATAGCAAGAATGTCGTCGAAAAAATAACTTTTTAATTTTTTTTTCGACGACATTCTTGCTATGGTATTTTGATTCGCGAATTTCAGGACACCCTGTATAATCGAATTAAAGGTTCAACACAGGGCCAAAATTTCGACTCGGGGAGGAAATTAATTTTTATATTTTATTGTATTGTATATCTACTCGAAATCTTGGCACTTTGCGCTACTCTATTTCCTCTATTATGTCAGTTATTAATGATTTTATTTCATCGACGATAAACAAAGTACGAGTGTAAAAACTTTTCACGCGCGTTATTCAAGCGTCGGATCATCGGTTTGATTACAGACTGAATCAGACGCCGATATCCGCGTCGACGACCACATCGACGTCGAAATTCGAGGTAACGCCGGCAAACCCGAAGAGGGACCCCTCGCCGGCGGCGGTGCCGTGCGTCATCAAGAAGGAAGAAAAACCCGAGGCCGATGAGAAGCGGGAAGATCCTGCCAAGGACGACTCCGACGACGGCCAGATTATACCTTGGCGGGCGCAATTAAGGAAGACCAACAGCAAGCTTAATATCCTCGATTAACTATTGCGAATGCTTTTTCCGTTTATCGAGAAAAAAAAGCGCGCGTGATGTAGGCGTGCAGTCGTTAACGCGCGGGTTTATGTTCCATGAAATCTTTCCGAACTTGACGGAACAATTGCCGCAACGTGGAAAGAGTGAATGTGAGGAAGAAATATCTTGCTAGTTGAGATAATAAACGAATATACGCGATGGTATCACGAAATTACACAACGGGAAGCGTGTTTTCGATACTCTCTAAGATTAGTACGCGATGTTCCGAAAGGAAAAAAAATATTTTACACGTCGCAGAATGTCCTCGCAAACCTCCTCGTCTGCGATTAACGCCGTAATGCCAAGCATATCCTGTTGATTATTGTTACGGAAATTGGGGAAGCGGAGTGGAGTTTAATAATTATTTCACGGTCGCGCAAGAACTCAAAGAACTCGTCCGCGTTTCCTTAAAAATATGGGGGAGGGGGAGGAAAAATCTTGTAACGATATTGCTGAAATATTTGTTCGCAGCAAATGTAACAGTCGTTTCGTGAAACGCGCCGAAAACGCAACTATGTGTGTTGGAACTGTGTAAAGTTAATTATCATGTGTCTTGAATTATACGCTACGTTGATATATGTACATACGAATAAGTCTTATGATTCGTTTGCATTGCAAAGCTTAAGATATATAGCCCGTTATCGTTTATTAATCGACTTTAACTTTGTTGATTATCGAAGAACAAAAAAAAATGGTGTCCCTCACTGCAATTACTGTCTCCGGCTCTGTTTCCACCGAACTCGTTGGTTCCTCGTTTACTTCGATTCGCTTGCTTCAACGGACGTTTAATCGCGCGGAGATCCGCAGAGACAGTTGGTGATCTAGGCCTAATTAATCGTGTCGGAGGGAACATCAGCAGCGTGGTGAATATGCCTTGGTAACTACCAATTACAGTCATTAGAACGCTGAAGCGACAGATCAGCGAATTAATGCTGACGTTGATTAATAACTGCAACGTCACGATAACGCCTGGTGCGTTACAACATATCGCTCGGACAACAGTTATCTTCCGCCACTTCACGAAGATTTATCTCTTCGTGAAATAACGGAGCAAGGAACGCAGGCGAGATATTTTGAGCGTGGAATTATACTTAACCCCTTAACTGCGATATCACTGGAACGCGACTCCACGATAGGTCACCTAAGAAAGATGGCGTGTATATAACTGATGTTTCTATATAATATTTGTATAATTAATAACACGTTGAAATTGTATAACGCTTGGTTATTTCTCCCGCGTTGTTGCTGGAATTGAACGAGAGCTCGCAAAATCCGAGATATAACTTCGGCAAACGTAGAAAACTTTGTACTATCGTCGAAAAGGTGGATGGAAAGGCATTGTAGAAGCATAAAAAGCGAAATACTACGAGGGATGCAATGCGTCGCGTTACGCATTCGAGGGTCTTCCAGGCCTCTACTTTTGTCCCTCCCTAATGCAAAGGGAAACGTTTCGTTTTGGTCCACGTATCAGATCCCTCGCTGTCCCTCGCTCTGGCCGAGTGGTAGGCACGAGGGTGGGAAAAATCATCCATCCATTTGACAGGGCGTATTCGTCTTCTCTTCGCCGCGGCGAACAAAGCACGTCATTGTACACAACGGCGGACGTTCGTGACGTGCGTGGTCGTGCCCCTCTTTCTCTCTCTCTCTCTCTTTCCCTCTGCCTCTACTACCTCGTCGCTTCAACGCACGCAGCCTTCGTTACGACACCGAGGGACGTTACGACGGAACGAAACGAAACGCGAAGCGGGAGAACGACACAGCCCGCGGAAGACGTCGGTGTCGCAACGCTGACGCTATTGACGGGCCTCCTCTTCGCCGTCTCCGTCTTTCGTCTTCCGAGCAACCAGCGCCGCAATTTGCAGCTGAGATTTTTGGCAGCGTTTAAAGCAGAGCACAGTTAAAGCACGACGAGCGAGCGAGCCAGTTGTAACGCTAGTGGAGACGTTTATACGAAAAGCAAGCTTTTCTAAGAGTTGTCTCTCTTAGAGGGGTTGCAGGCTCATCTCAGTGTCAAGAATCGTTCGAGTGATATGATGATTTACACGTGAACAGTTGCATTTAATTTCAAGGAGATATAAGTCTATTTGTGCAGGAGTAATAAAGAAAAGTTAAGTTAAATCTGATTTTTTAACGAGTGCTCTGAAATCGAAAGGCGGAAAGGCCGGAAAACCGGTGAGGAGTGTTTCCATCATCATCCACCGGCGAAATGGCATCCAATCGCAGCGTGCTAGGTGAGTGATTGACATGACAAGGGGTTGAAGGTACGACTTGTTGTCTCTTTGGGTTCTTTCAAGTCGCAAGTATTTTGAAGAAAACAAGCGACTAAATAAAAATGTGTAAGACACTTTAAAACGTGACTCCTAGTTATTTTCAATGTGAATGTTAAAAATAATAGTGACAAGAGATCACATGTTACATTATCGTGAATATCATTTAGAATTAATGTGATCTCAGATATTTCGAGCGAACGTAATTAGCGCGAGGCAGCGCAAATCTTAACAATTAACAGAGAGAGAGCTGACGTTTCTGCGATATTTATCTTGATTTAATACTTGGTTTATTCGAATGTAATACCGTTAGAATACAAATTTATCTCGCTGTATCGGAATATAAAAAAGCCTTTAGCAAGTCGCACGCTTACGAGGTCAACATTTTGCAAATACTGTACGGAAATTTATTTACCGAGGTGCTTTTGTTTACATTATTAATATTATTTCTAAACGTGCGATCTTTAAGTTCTCCTTTCTAAACGTATATTGTTCCAAGCGCGTCATCTGGTGTTTCAGTTCCAAGAAGACAAAACATTCCATAATTGGTTTCATTAGATTTTCCACCATTAGCACGGCGATTCAACGCGAAGTCATAATTAAGTTTAAGTGGCCGTGTTTGTTTTACACATCTCGTGTTCCGTTTGCATGCGTCCGGTTTCCCGATTGCAAACGAAGGACGTGAAATTACATTTAATACTTTTTTAATTATCGATCATTGATACGAATCCAATATCGACGAATACGAATAAAAATTACCTGACAGATCAGGCCAACCCTTTTCTAAAAACAAAACGGAAAATCGCTCAGGTTCAATTTCTAATATCACGTCGCGTATCTCGAGAGATCAATTTTTCGCTCTTGAAAAAAATTCTTGCGCGGACGCGTAACTTTGTTGAAAGGAAACGAACGGATTCATGTGTGGACAAGCTTAAGTTGCGTGCGCGTCTCGCGACGGACGGCAACGAACGCGGCTTCCGCCTAGACGTTAATGTATTCTTTATTACGGGAAGGGATGATGATTCGTCAAGAAGCCGGCGCATAATTCGACCGGTCAATTACGGTGAATTAAAGTGATAAAGGCATCAACCTCCTGTATAATATACTTTGTATATTATATCATAGAATCAATAAGATACCAGCGGAGCTTGGTGTTTTGACTTATTCTTTCATCAAAGATACAGATACGAGATAACGATAAAAAGAATGGTTAGACGACTTTAGGCTGGCAGATGGTTTATTTATTTAAAGTCCGACGTTTCGGCCATGCGGGCTGCGGTCCTTTTCGAGGAATTCAATAATAAATATTATACATAAACCATCTGCCAGCGTAAAGTCGCCTAACAATTCTTTTTATCGTTAATTATCTACTGGCGATTCACATACTTTCGTCGTTAAGTACAAGATAAAGCTCTTCAGCGAAGAGCTACAGATACATTTCTCGAATTTCTTTGCTTTCAGACATAGATACAAAATGCACTCATTATTTTGTATCTTTTCAGAAAAATACCAAGCTCTGAGTATCAGAAAGAATTATATAGCGCAGAATATAGTATAGTGGCATGCATTACGTTTTATCATAATATTTATTAGTATATGTGTATTCTCTCTAATAATAAATATTATCGAATTATGATAAAATGCTCAGAAAACACTTATGCATGTCTCTCTATTGTTCTTTCTGACGCCTCATCGATTTTACAGGAACATAAAGCATACATAAAATAAGTCAACCTAAAGACGATAAAGTTTAAAAAACAATTAAAACAATTTAGAAATATAAATTCTGTATGTACTCAAAGTAATATTAACTTTGTCTCGAGATATAAATATCAGATAAAATAAAATGAAAATAAGATGGAATGTAAAGCACAAGAGAAAAGATATCAAGCGCATTAATGGCTATCGGATATACATGTGTATAGAGGAAATGATTGTTCGCGTAATCTATGATCTCTCTCTCTCTCTCTCTCTTTCCGAATGAAGTTTACATGAAATATGAGCATAGTCTACCGCGATTGAAAATTCGCAATCGCCGTTTGCCCCGAACCGTCACCTCTACTATTCCTAGGGTTAACACGCATCATCGACGACATTCGTGCATGACGTTCGACAGAAGACGATATCGCGCGTTGATAGTTGAACGCTTATATTCCACGACGACGCGGCGACGCACCAGCCTCTAATCTTCGATCAATTAGACGTGAATGCGTACTGCGATGAAGCTCATAGATAATAATGCCGTCTACGCCGTCGGACTCGTGTCGTGACCCGAATCGGTGCTTCCGTCCCTCCGAAGCTGCAAGTCATCAAACTCGACTTTAAGAAAAGCAGGTACACTATTTCGAGCCCTCGCGAAACGACGAAGCCGCTATGAATAGCCCACGGGGAAACGTGCACAGAGTTCTAGGTGAAGGTCGCGACAGCGTCTGTGATCCACGACACAAACGACGGCCCACAAAATGTCGCGCATCTCGGTGCAAAAAATGTGCCTTCGTGAGATCGCTGAGTTTAAAGATCAAACTTCTGTTAATTTTTTACATTTTTACAATGTAAGATTTATCAATCATTTACACAAAAACAAGAATCGCCTGGTATTTTACGTGTGTGTGAAGAGGAAAGCGGAGGTGTTTAACATTTAAATCACATTAAAATGTATTTTGTATATCTCGTTGCTTACTCTTTAAAAGTCAATTAGTGGATTATCACTAGAAAACAATAAATCAGCGAGTATTTCCTGCTTTCAGTGATAATCTGATTGACTTTTAGAGATACACGTCTTATTAGTGTCTCAGTAGTTTTATTAAGCAGCTAGATTCGGCTCTGACGTAGATATCATAATTACATCTCGTGTAGAATTAATTGGGAAAAATTCTGCTTTCGGAAATGTAAGGGTCAATCTACGCCGATTATATCGCACCATGATGCCAAGTTTTCCGACCATTAAGACCAGTGTCACGTTATCGAGGTCATCGACAATACAACCCTGCGCTCAAGTGAAACCGACTTGGTAATCAAGTATAAAGGCGGCCGTAAAAACCGCGATTAGATACGTCGTGCACTGGTCAAGCTATGCAATACTACCATGAAACGATGTGTGATTGACATTAATGTGTTTCATATAAAATCATGACAAAACTACATCGACGGTTTATCAGTAACAGAAGAGAAAATGCTGCTATCTTTTGAAAAACAAATGCCGACGTAGAGTCGTTCATTCTACCTTCATCTTCATGAATTCGAAGATCAATTGTTATTTCTTCTTGTATTTAATATTCGATATTGTCCCGATTTATTGAATAATACGATCAATGTAACATTCATTAGGATTCAATCTCAATTAAAATTGTATTGGGTAAACTTATTACGTACCTGAATTATACGTTGAGTTATAATCGACCTTGCACAATCGTTCCTCTTTCCCGGTTAATTTATCTTTCGCGTACAAACCAATCTCGCTATTTCGGCCGGTAGAAAATTTTCGCTTTGACACCAAATTAAAACTAAATCGCGTATTACGCACTATGGACGCTATTATCTCCCAGCGGGCGTTCAAAGTCGACAAATTTCAAATACTAGAAACGCGATGTATTCCCCGCATTAAAGCACCGAGCTCCATCGCCACATGATCGGGGAGCGTAATAGTCGCAATAGCGGTTAAGTGGATAGCACGACTCGCGTGGCGGGCCTTCGATTCACGAACGTCATTATTATATCGGCCAGATTGGACTTTTAAATAGGCACTCCTCTCCAATCGCCCAAATTGCATCCGCGGGTATCTCGCCCTCCCCAAAGTAATCCTACGTACGCGGATAACGTGTGCGCCTGACGTGTTAAAATGAAAAGTAAAAGGTCGAATAGTTCGTAACTGTAGCGCTACGTCAATTTAGCTGCGAATCAAACGTGAAGAAAGAATTGATAAATGTTAAAATTTACGTAAATAGAAATGCATATGCCAGTGGACGCGTGAACGTGTACATCGATTGACCCTTTGAAGCATACATTTTTCTAATGAACCATTTTTTGCGAAACTTTGTATACAAGGGTTTTTGGGGTCGCTGATTACGAATCCGTTATCAGACTTTCATAATTCAAAATGGTGGATTCAAGATGGCGGAAATCCAAACTTAAAAAAATAACATCATTCAACTGTAATTAAACTGTGCTAAGAAACATTATTTAGATATTATTAGGACCCGTGGAATCTAAATTCCAGTTGAAAATTCTTATAGAACATAAAAATAGCGCGCGCGAAATGGCGGATGCAAAATTGAAATTTGATTTCTTAGAATTCACTCGTTCTTAGCACCACCCAGAGCTAACGACGCGGACGCGATGAGTCCCTAAATACCGTAATTAAACGAAAATGCCGAAAAACTTAAAAACTTAAAAAATTCACGTACTTTGCGTCCGCCATTTTGGGTCGGCCATTTGGAATTTTGAAAATCTGATTCGTAATGAGCGACCCCGAAAACCCCTTTGTACAAAGTTTTCAAGAAATAATCTTAAAAAACTTGGTCAATAATGAATTTTTCCGGTAAAATTACTGTTTTTTCACATTTGTTTAATTATAAAACTTTTATAATAAATATTAAAGCCTGCTCAACTTTTTTTATATTCTTTTATCGCTAAGATACCCAAAAAAATGCAAAAAACGCGACCTAAATGCGTTAACTAGAAATTAAATGGCCAAAAAGTAAAGAAGTTGAGGTGGTAACGTGGGTTACCGCCATACTTCAAAAGGTTAAAGTGAAACTGAGAACAGGTGATCGTTCTGAATTGATTTCATTATTGTCACCACAGGTCGCGTAGTATTACCGGTTCGTCGCGTGACGCGGATAACCGAGGAGAGACAATATAATTTATCGATGCAAATTAAATTTTCTCACTTGAAAAGGATCGATTAAAAAAGCAATCAAACACGGCAATCTCAGATTTTTATTGCGTTAACGCGTAACAAATAAAATTACAAATAAGTCTTTAAGAATACGTTGAGAATAAAACTGAAACTACAACTGAGACGACGCGAATTAAAATCACATCGTGATAAATGTAGACAAAAAAGAAGTTAAATGTTAATTTAAGGCAGTGTGAGCCGTTACCTGATCGACGGTAATAAATGAATAGTATACGAAAATCCTTGTAGATACGTATATTATATAAAAGATTAAAACAATTTGAACGTTTCGGTCATCGCATGTGACCCTCTTCAGCAAATATAAATAGAATAAGTGAGTAACCTATTGTCTGATAACGCATTATACAAGGTGAAAATACTTATTGCGTTGTTATTACAAGTGTATATAATATAAAAATAAAATAGTATAGAATTATAAAAGACTTATCATGTCGGTGTGTTAAAAGTTACGCAATTTTGGAATGGTCAGTGACATGGTCCATCATCGTGTCTTCCTATCGTTAATTGTGTTATTTATTACGAGATATGTTTTGGGCCTATTTACTTTTTTTTCATCAGACGGGAAGCCTGCTGAGCAATAATAACGCAAAAGTGATTACTTATTAACTTTGCTAATTAACTAATCAGAATATTCTTCAATGTCGTCAGCGGTAATTAATAACGTCAGTGTTTTCTTGACCGTACCTGGCATTTTTAATACTACAGCAAATTTATTGCGAAAAATATTACCTCAACCAAGTTTGAACCTGGACCTCCCTACACTCTAGTCTCTGAGACGCCCGCCTAGAGTGTAGGGAGGTCCAGGTTCAAACTCTGGCTGAGGTGATATTTTTCGCAATAAATTTTCGGTATTATTAAAACTACCAGGTTGGGTCAAGAAAACACTAACGTTGCTTGCTAATTAAGTTGAGCGATTTGTATGTAACACTACGGAAGCCGGGAAATACAGAAGCGATTTTAACACACGAAATCACTAAAATCTACCGGAATAAGAGTATTACTTCCTCGCGATAAGAATGCACCAGCCTGCGATTTCATTCGACCTTACTCGCGGCTTCGGTTACGTCAGATACGGTGGTTAGAGCACGATTTTGCATCGGCAACGCTGACATAAGTACGCGTCGACGAACGTTTAAAAACGTTTCGCAAATTATCCGCCGACTCTTTGTTACAACGACGTCCGCTGCGTACCTTTTCAGGAAATTCTAATCACCCGCGTATCGATGACCATTCACTTTCGTAGTCGAAGGCAGACACGTACGTCGCGATTGTGCAACGGGGCACAACTTATTTGTTGCCCGGCACGCGCTTCTCTGTTGTAACAACTAAATGCGTCAAAGACGAGAACGATTAGACAGAGTTAATTGACGTAAGAATCGCTGGCTTCACCCATCGAAGTACACTTTTAGCGCTCTGTTATTCCTTACAGATTAATCAAATAAAATTCTGCCGAAGTAAAGTTCATATTGAAGCAACTTGCCTCTTGTTAGCTATTCATTTCAATTACAAAAATGAGCTTCCTTTCATTCATCTTTAATAGTTATCTCTTTCCAATAAAAATGCAAAACCTTTCCGAGTCGAAAATTTTGCCTCTATGTTGAACCTTTAAATCTATTATACAGGGTGTCTCACTTTAAACGATCCACGCAAATATCTCCAAACATATGAGAGATACGGAAAAACAATTCAAACAAAAGTTGTTTGGTTCGAAGGGGGACATAAGGTGATGCCATTGACTTGACCTTGGATAGTCATTTGAAGGTCACGAGAAGGTCACCTTCAATTTTTTTAATGGACCCCCTATTGTTTATTATACTATCTTATTCTACTGATTAATGTGAATAACTTTTGTCCGAAACATGTTTGATTTGCCTAATACTTTTGAGATATTCAAAAGAAAATTTATAACTTTTTCAATGTTTAGCTTATGATATCTCGATAACTGTTTGTCGGAGGGAAAAGTAGTACAGGACTTTTTACTTGATTTGGTCTCAGGAATATGCTGTTGCAATAGTGTTCCAATTATTGAAAATTGTTGTGTTTGTAACATACACAAAATCTACATACTTTTTAGAATTAAAGATTCAAGGGTGGAGTAAAAAATATAATGTCATCAAAGTAGGTTATTGCTGGTCTATGTAGGTGTATAGATCGATCAGCTAAGTAGGTGTAGATTGTCCTTAAAAGTATCAAAATAGTACCAAAATTTCGACTCGGGTTTAGTCGACCAAACTGGCAAAATTTAAGTGGTTTATTTACAACGTTTCGACTTAATTTCAGGCCCTTATCAAGTAATACAGATTAGGTATAGAACACAGCTCTTGCCGAAAACTTGACGAATACATGAGTCTGTGCTAGCAAATTCATAAGTCAAAAAGTTTTCGAAGTCAAAAAATCAACGTAAAAGTCCTTACAGCCCAACGTCCGTATGATATAAAATTTCACGTAGGACCGAATCAGGTCAAAACGTTGTAAATAGACCTCTTAAATTTTGCCAGCTTGGTCGACTAAGGTTCGGTTTCACCAAACGTCGCTTAACTTTAATCTTAATTTAATTCATGTTTGTCTCTTTCTAAAGTAACAGTTGGAAAGAGACAAAGAACGAGTTGAGCTAAGTTTCAAGTTGCACAACGTTGGTGAAAGCGGGCCTACTAGATTTGCATTTTGGTACGATTTTTTCACTGGTGACAACATGCACGTAGCTTTTCGGTTCAATTCGTGTTTCCGTCGAGAAAAACAAGCAAAGTCAATCTCAGATTTTTCAATTACAACTAAGAATAAGTTGAAAATAAAATTGAAATTACAATTAAGGCGACGCGTAATAAAGTCACATCGTGTTGAGTATAGAAAAAAGAAGCATCTTATTTATTACAAAATACGTTTCAGGCCAATCGCATGTTTTTTTTCCATCAGACAGGGAGCCTGCTAAGCATCGGTGTTAAACAGGCTAATGGTGATTTGTGCCATTGGATTCTACATGGGCTGGAGTTTGATACTTGCAAAGCGTGATTCATTAGGTGTATTACGGTGGCATCGAATGCTTCTGTGATAACCTCGAACGCAAATTCGCGATAAGCAAAGTAACCAGTCGGCTTTACGGATACGATCAACGTGGTGCATGCAAAGCGGACGATGCAAGGCGACCTAATGCTGACTATTAATATCGAGGACGAGGTGCGCCTGTTTGCGCTCCGCTTCTTCTCTCTGCAAGCTTCTTTCTTACAACTCGCTCGGTACATTGACGCAACGTTTACGGGAAACCTGGAACCTTTGCACGTCGACGCGCACGTGTCCGGATTTGCGAAACCGCGAAACGTGCGCGGAAGGGGAAATAATTGGCCCGTTCGTGCCATTCTTGAAATAATTTCGGCGGTCTGCCAGCGAAACTAGGAAACCGTCGGGCGACACTCGTGACCGAAGAGTCCGATACCACCTATACGACTGCTCATTAATTAAAGCGAAACAGACGCGATCGGTCGAGTCGTGAATTGGCACAATCGCCACGCGCTTTTAATTAATCCACTCCGCCTGATTCGCGCTGCAAACGGTGGACATTTGCATAGCTGAGCGCGGGATTTCCTTTGCGATAGCGCGGCGTTCGACGATATGAGCAAGAGAAAGCGCGATTCCGCGCGTTCGAACCTCCGGAACCGCGTCATCTCGAATGACGACCTCGAGATGAATCGATGTGTACAATAACACCGAGATCGATAATGGACCGAAACTATACGTAGTCGCGTGTATTGCGTGCTGGCGTTACGTAAAAATTGTTTACGGCACTTGAGACATGTGACATAGACGATGCTCGCAAGCCGTATATAAGTACGTCCTGTTTTCAACACACTCTGTCGAATTGTGTAAAAGAAATCCTGGAATCGAAATGATGTCAATGTAAATAAAACTGTCCAACGTCATCCGTGCGTACGAGACGGATATCGAAGTTCTTGCTACATTTCCGCAAACATTCCCGCGTCCGTCATAATTTTTTTAAATATTTTTATAGAGAATTGCTTGTAGAATATTTAAAAGTTGAAATCAAACGTTTTGTTAATTCAACTGGCAATATAATTAATTAAATGTTACAATTGGTACGACGACACTTGAGTCGAAACGTCGTACCAATTGTAACATTTAATTAATTATATTACCAGTTTTATTTCAATTTTATACATCACTGGTGACTAAGTATACTCCTCTGCTAGTTGAATATTTAAAAAGTTACTTGAAATTTTAAACGAGATTTATTTAGAAAGTATATCGAACTACGGAAAAAAATCATAACGCAAATAATCGCAAGAAAATTATTATATTAATGTAACTGTTCCTTTCTGATCGGTTTTTTATTATTTATAATGTCAGTATTCTATTTAATACTTTAATTTTCTCAGAGTCAATAATTTCGATATAATTCAACATAATAATCGATTTCATTGAATATTTTTCCTCTTGTGTTTTGCGCACAATCTAAATAATAGATCTTGTTTACATTTTGTTTCGTGTTATCGGAAATATCTTATCTCGCAATTTATAATAAGAAAGAAAGGAATAAAAACGTGAAAATTGGCCATTACTATGCAACAGTTTAATGCGTCGACTAAATGTTTGCGGTTTCGAGCCACAGGACCGCAAAACGCATGACCGCGAATATTTTTCTAGATCGCCTGTCATGCAGGCAGGTACTGGATATCATGGTGATTCTCGGCTTCATGTTAAACTACATGCTACGTATGAATCTAACGATAGCGATCGTTTCGATGGTGATACCGAGCAATAGCAGCGTTCAGCATTCACATTCCAACGGATCGGCGTCGGTGCAGGATGAGTGCGGTGCCCAGGCGACGATGATGAACGACTTCACCCCGATCGACGGCACCAGGACCCCGACCGTCGACGCTAATAGAGTCAACGAGATGAACAACGGCAGTACGCTCCCATACTGGCACCGGGTTCGTTGAAACTCGCGTTTCAAAGCCGAACTTGTACGGTGAATGACCTCAGTAATCGTACGTGGCGAACGCATCGCGAGAACGCGGTTCCGATTAAATGTAAAATCGATGTGGACTACAACTGCTAATCGCAACACACTCTTAAGGATCGTTTTGCTCCGTCGTTGAAACTATTTTTTTACTTGCTCGAGTTTTCGCTAACCGAAACGGGAATTAGCTTAATTTTCTTTTTCAATAATCGCGGCGTATCTTTCTTCGACTTTTCCCCGAGCTCAGTTTTGACGAGTTCCTCGATTTTCAATCTCAGGAAGAGCGAACCCAGACCAAGTACCCGTGGAACGAATACGAGGTGAATATGATCCTCGGCAGCTTCTTCTGGGGTTACATCTGCACGGAGTTTCCCGGTGGTCGACTCGCGGAGATAATTGGTACCAAACGGGTCTTTGGCTACAGTATGCTGGCGTCAAGCTTCGTCACTCTGCTGACACCACTGGCGGCTAGCTTGGGCTACACCGCGGTCGTCGTGTTAAGAGTCGTATTGGGATTCATGCTGGTACGTCGCTATTTCATGTAGGAATCATACTGCAATTATGAACGCGTCCGCCTCGTGAGAAACGATCTAACAAGCAAACGACTGAATCTATCGAGCATCTCTCTCTCTCTCTCTCTCTCTCTCTCTCTCTCTCTCTCTCTCTCTCTCTCT